TATCCAGAGCAACATCAAAACTAGAGCAGTATCGAAAAAAAGAATATATATGTTTAATATTGGAAAAATTATGTTAAAACAGCTGATAAAGATTGCGTGGAAGTTTATTGAAGAAATAAAACAAAACGTATAATATTACGCAGGAGATAGGTAAAGACAAGGTAACAAAAGCACAAAAAAGTACGACGATGAGAGATAAAAAATTATTGACGAAATTGAGGTTACCAATACTAAAAAAAGGTGCAGATTGAAATAGATAAGGTTAAAAAAATGACAAAAATATTGCCTAAAATGAGAAATTATGTAAACCTATAAAATAAATTGCTCTGTATAGGGCTAAGAATCTCCGTTAGCCAGTGAAAGTAGGCTTTCAGGAAGATAAATAGAGAATCACATCGTCTAGCGTATTTACAATAGTGGTTGTAATCACACACATATATGTGCGTGTGTGTGTAACAATATACTAGAGAACGAAAATAAGTCCGGAATACTATATTCTATAGATATAATAGTAATATCATTCAATATATAAAAAAGTAGAATTTCTTGGAAAAATCATTTTGTTACAATCTGAAAGCAAAATGATCTGAATGTGGTCACGATGAATCGCAAAAATTGCATTTACAATTACACAAAAGGTAATTAAAAACAGGAAAATTGATATGTACATACTTTTAAAAAACATGTTCCGCCTATGTATATAATAAAATAGCTAAGAAATTACTGCCAAATTATAGGATTGTATAATTTTAAACGAGGATCAAATAACAAATTTGAGAAAATTTTTGAAGACAAACGTGAATGTTGTTAAATGTATATGATCTAGAAGACATTCTTCAATATATATTTTAATAAGTGATAGAAATATAAAAACGTAATGCTTGAATAAATACAAGAAAAAATGACCAAAAGAGGTATTTAAAAAAAAACAGATTTATAGCCAAAAATTATTAATTTGTTAAATTATATTTAATGATCTAGAGAAAACATTCTTCAATATATATTTTTAAAAGTGATACAAATATAAAAACGTGATGCTAGAAATACAAGGAAAAGTCAAAGGTATTTGAAAATTAAACAGATTTATATAGATGGCCAAAAATTATTAATTTGTTAAATTATTCAATAATAATTTACATAATCAGACATTTATAGTAATTTTTTAACTTGTAAATTGTTGGTCACTAGAAGTTATCTGGCGTTTTTTCGCTATCACTTTAAAATTCACCAATTTATTTAATCTGAATTGTGCAACACTTTTAAAAGTATTTATGATTTAACAATAATTTTTCAATGATTTTATTACGAGAAGTGAATTTATGAATTCAATATTTAAAACAAAGTGGAAGGCTATAAACGAAAATATTATTCTCCTATTATATGAAATAAATTACTTCTCAAAAAATGCGAACTTCAGCATAAGGAAACAATTTTTTTGTTAGGGGGCGTCCACTAATCACGTGAGCGAGTTTTTAAGGATTTTTAGATTCCCCCCCTCCTCTTGATGATACATGGTTATATTCAAAATTACCTCCCCTCCCCCACCGAACATCAAGTGTATTTACAGTTACGTGATAAAACTGAAATAAAATTTTTGATTTTTTTTTTTTTTGAAACAAATGATAATAGCAATAGAAGCCACTAGCAGTACGGTAAAATATTGATTTATTTCATTTTAGTATTATTATGTTGGCATATTTTTAAAGATAATAGAATCAAATATACTTGGCATATATTTCCTCATGGGAAGGGAAACGAACAATGAGATCTGATTAAAAAACTGATCAAAAATACTTAATCGGTCATGACATGTTCTATTATATTAGAACATACCTAAAATATAATAGATGTCATTTGAATGCACATTTGAATTAAATGTAACTCAACGCTCATAGCAAGATTTTAACAGGAGAATTGTTTGAGAATTCTAAAACATGTTGAAGAATTCTAAAATACTCAAAATTGATTAAAATATAATGCTTTATCAATTTCAGTATGATTATTTTGATTGATATTAATAATTTTAAAATATTGAAAGCATGTATTTAATCAATGAATATAAAACAGAGAATATGTATTTGAATTTTCAAAAACTTCTATTTAAATTGTGATACTGGAGTAGATACTGGAATCAAAAATTGAAAATTTCATTCTAAAAAACCGTAGAAACAGAAACATTCTTAGCGCATGTGTACAAACGTTCGTTAAATTTAGAACACAAATAAAATTTAGTATTGTTTATTCAATAGTTTTAACTAACAGTCTCTAAAATTATTCGATAAAGGGAATAAAAAATAGGCAAAAATAAAAATTAAGATTTAAAAATCTCATATTCGTAATAAAATATTATGTACCTCAAATTGATAAAAATAATGTGAAAACAACCTGCAATAAAAAGAATTATTAGAAATCGAAATTATTTTTTAAATACATCCCCCATTAGATATAAAAGCTATTAAATTAGGCATAAACATTTTTATTGAACATTCATATATATAACCAGTAAAATTGGAAAGCTAAACCGAATAAGTAAAATTTTAGCTGGACAATATTTGAACAAGTAAAATCAATAGCTGAAACTCTTATTTGTTTCTTCCTAATATAGAAATAATACAAGTCCGATATAAAACAATAAAGAGCAAATTTACATTAGCAATAATATAAAAAGTTGTTGTAAACTAATTGTAAGTTCAAATAGTAACTTCTCAAGTTTTAATATTTGTATTGCATAAATTCCAAATAAAAGTGCAATAAAAAAGAAACATTTCGTAATCATTGTTTTCACATAGTATGTAGTTTTTGATAAATATATATATATATATATATATATATATATATATATATATATATATATAAAAGACAATGCTTGAATTTTGATTGATTTGTGTTATTGAATTGACTCTATAAATTAAAAGTATACGAAAATCAAAACATAATTAAATATTTGAAATTAAAACTAAGTTATCAAAAAATTGTAGGATCAAAAAAAAACTTCAGGTAAACCCGCAAATAATTAATTATATAATTACAGCCCATTATAACTGATATAAATAAACTGGTATAAAAAGCTACAATGATTATTGTAATGAATTGAGTTATTTAAGAATACATCATAGGTTTTTTCTCGTAAGCTATAAAAGTATTAAATATATCAAAAAAGAATCATAACGGTTGGCAAAAATCACAGGAATTTGCTAACGACTACAGTGCAAATATTTAACAATAGGTATAGAATAATAGAATAAGCAAAAAATAAGAATGAGGAAATGTTATAAATAGAAAATAATAATTTATGCAGAATTATGATAAAATTACATTTTTCAAAATATTAAAAATAAAAATTATGCAGCAAATAGTCATGTACAAAATGTATGTTGTTATCAATTTGTAATAAAAGTACGTATAGCGTAATGCAAAAACTAATTTTAAAAAATAAATATTTATTCCTTTCTTTTGCATTCAAATATGTGCTATTCAACGATTTCAACGTTTTGAAGTTGTTAAAAATATAACGGTTCATTCTTATGTTATTCGTCATGTATTTTTATATATTGATAACTGAAAGTGGAAATTGGCGGTGAAAGTCGTGCCATCATATACAGTTGTATACAAATTGTATCAAAAGTTTAACAGAGTTAAGTTAACAGAAACGAATTGTCAGCATTTTTATAACTTTCAAAGACTGAAACCTATTGATCATATAAATGTATTTAAATTTTTGACGATTTAGGCGTTTAAATATTGATAATTGTTTATAAAATTTGTAGGAAAATACGGACAAAATGGCATATATAGATAAAATGATACAGTGGCTTTATTTAAAAATTGGCTTGTTTTATTAAGTTTTTAGCAATTTTATTGTTTAGCAATTGGCTTGTTTTATTAAGTTTCCGCGACTGTATAATATGAAAAAAGTTATAACAAATATCCGGTCAGATGTTGGGCGTCATTGTCACAGTCTTATACGTGTTACAAAGTAACACAAAGACAAAGTTTACTTTTAAGTGTGCTAACGACGAAGAAATTTACAATATCTTTATATTATATCAAATTATTAAATGGAATTTAGTGATATAATAATAAATAATTACTTATTGTATGTAGCATTCGTACCTTATGTAATGTAAAGTCTAAGGTATCTGTAAAAATTGTATTCAAGGGATAAAACCCTTAAGTCAAAAGCTTATATAAATAAAATTAACAAAAAAGTACTTATTGATAATCGTAATTCTTTCAATTAAAATCAATTAGCTTATGTCAGTTCTATCAGGTGTTTAATGGAATTATTTATATGTATTAAATACCGGACAAAATGACATACTTATACAATGGATAAAATGACATAGTACTATTTCGTAAACATTACAGGGCCAAAAAAAATTAAAATATGACAAAAGTGTTTGCTTTTAAATTCAACTCAGTATCAGATAAATAATTGCTAAAAACATATCAAAAGAACCACTGGTAAATCGAAGAGACTTGCATTTGTTGCAAAACCCTCTTTCCCGTTCTGAGTTTGGCAAAGATTAGATAAGTTACGAAAAATGACTTGTTCCCTTTGGGTTCATGACACATGTGCTTGTGCCCCAAAAAAGACGAAAGGATCTATTAGTGAACTATTTTATAAAAGATAAGCACCTCGGTATGTCCATACCCTATATGCCATTTTGTCGGTACTATATGGACAAAATGGTTTTTGTAATAGATTGCATTTTCCTTATATATTAATATAGTTCCTATCCAATTAAAATACTATCTTACTATAAGCCAATGAACCAGAGAAAAGTAAAAACGATTAAGACTGATAATACCAATAAATAAATAAATGTCATTAAAAATGCAACACCATGTCATTTTGCACTTACCTTCCCTTTAAAGTCAACTTTAAGTTCAGTAAGTATATTGTTACTCGCGTATAAAAAATGCTATTTCATTCAGTTATACATATAATTTAAAGTTACTGAAAATTCAATTCCTAAAAATATAATTATATTTCATACCGTGATCGTTATCAATATTGTCGTTGCAATCCATTTCCAATGCAATCGAACAATCTTTTCCAGCCCATCCTTCAATGCACATGCAGCTGTATTCTCCATTGTTCAAGGTGCATTGGCCGTGTCTGCTGCAGGCATTTTCACATCCAGCTACAAATGAATTTCAATATTTAATAAAAAAAAAAATTAACTTAATCATAACATTTATTTTTTGGAAAAACATCAAAATATTTGGCCAAAACATCAAAACATATTTTGATATTTCAGTACAACATATTGTTTAGCTATTAAATTTTAAATTAAACTAAAGAAGTTTAGCCATAGTTAAACTAATAAATTTTAACATTTAATAATCATGATATTTATTTTTGGAAAAAAGGTCAAAACATTTGGGCAAGGCATCAAAACATATGATATTTCAGTACATATTGGTGACAAATTAAGTTTCAGCCTTATTTTTAACTTTGATCAATAAAAATTGTGTAATATATGATATAATACAATCACTTAACATATATAACATATTTTAAAGTGTAATACTCCAGGGTAAAGAACTAATTATGTAATACCCCAAGCTCAACAAACCCACAAAATGTAATTAACATAATTCTTTGAAATAATTTTTGAAATTAAATTTTTCAATAAAATATAATAAAAATTATTATAAAAAAATCAAAATATCAATGTTTAATTAAAACAAATACATTTCTAATCTAAAATTTAAAATAATTTCAAATCTAAAATTTTAATTCAAAACTAAATCTGTTAAAAAATGATATTTCTAAGTTTTTTGAGCAACTTGACAGACTGGTGCAAGCGAGTAGGCATGAGCACTTTTTGATTATTTTAATTGCGCAATCATTCAAGTCGGCAAGTTCATTCGTTGTCCGCGTGTGGCAGCACATATCCCGTTTTTATTTTACTTTGTAGCGAATTCTAAATACAAGTTTATGAAGTTATCGACAATTAAAAGTTATTAAATTAGCCCTCTGAACACTTTGAATTCTCTTCTGATGCTGTAAATATATAAATTAATAAAAATGATATATTTTTAAATTATGTCTTGACGTTTCTTAGTTGGCATTTGTGATATGCTTGCGAAAATACTTGAACATAAAACTTGAGCCGTCTGTGGGCACTGTGAAAATACGCCTGGTTGCGCATTCATTCAGTTGCACAAGCATACAGTTACGTCTGTGGCCGGCATAACAGATTTAGTTCTAAATAAAGGAATTTCTAACTTTACTTTATTCATATTCAGTTGAAAAAAAATTGTTTGATCTTTCGATTTTTACGGGGAGTATATGAGAATCAACAGGGCATTGGTTTCGGATTTAAATAAAAACAAAAACAATTTTTATACAAAATATATTATACGAATGGAAATTATTTTTATAAATTGAAAATCTCATTTACAGTATTAAAAAATGTTAAACAAAAGCGTGATTTCAGTATCATTATGATGTTCACAAACAAATTATATTACATTGCAAGTATAGTTTCCCTCCAAATAAATAAAAATGAAGCAAATCATAAATAATTTAAGCAATGAGTAAAATGTAAACTTAAAAATCAATAATAAAAAATATATGATAATTTTGTTATTAAAATCATCAATAATTGAGTAGAAACAACTATGTCATTTTTTCACGTATATTCATAAATGAACAACTATACATAAATATGGCTAATTCAAAAGTGTTACCTGACGCGGCTTTTATTGTAAAAAAACTATCAGTGGCAAAGGTTTAAGAAATATTAGTATTTGAATATCAAGTTTAATAAAAAATAATAGGTTTTCTAGAAAATCAAATGTTATAAAGAAGATAATATGTACATGTCATAAACTGTAGCAAAACAATAAAAAATGCAGGTAAAAGTTTTCTTAGAAAAAATGCTCATAAATTTAAAAAAAAAACGAGAAAGCTTATAAGGAAGTTGCATATGATAACAGCAATAATTGAATTCTATAATTGGGAATAACATGGTCTCTATATAGTTTCAACTTTTATAAAAATTGATTAAACTAGTGAAAAGCGTAGAAATAACAATTTTGGTAATATTAGTTATTTCATCACTTTTAGGTTTCTTGCTTTTGATATAAGTATATTTCAATTTATAGAGATACACAAATAGTTTAAAAACCACTAACGCAAGACACACTATAATAAACAAAAAACTAAGCAAAAAGAGTACATATATAAAAAACCTTTTTTGAAATGATGATTTGTAATAGACAAATAAAAAATATGAACAAATATATAGGAGAACATATACAAAAAATTAGATTTTAATGCAAGGTCCAAAAGATAACACATTCAATAAACTACTGACATATATTTTGAAATATAAGCCAATCAAAATTAAACAAACATTATCAAGCAAAATATGTGGTTAAATATAGAAAATTTGACGATAGCGATTGCATTTTCTCTTCTTATAAGGAAAACGTACAATGTTCAAAAACAAATAAAATGTTCTCCTTCAAATATTTTTATATTATAATATTATAAAAATAAGATTATTATAAATTTATTAAAAAACAAACTAAAATGTTCTTAAATATTCGAATAAGATATTTATAAAATTATTGTTACAAAAAGTCATTACAACATTCCACAACCATTCAAATCGATTTTTCATGTTTTATATTAATTGTATATTTAGGTTTCAAAGTGCAAAGCGTTTTATTAAAAACTAAAATTCGCTTATTATGGGTATAATATTAAAGTTTATTTCATCATTAAAAAACAAAAAATCGTGTAAATTTATTCATTCCTACACTTTTGTATTCAGCATTTAAATTAATAACCTTGAATTACCATATCAAATTTTTCCAAAGTGCCATATTATATCATTCTTTATTAATACAACAGTTATTGAGTATTCAATAACAATATATAACAGACTAGAACTTTTGAAAAAATATGGAAAAATAATAAAAAAAAGCTAAAAATCTGATCTGAAAGCTAAAGCATTGCATTTATTGTTTGAAGCGTATGAATAGTTGCATACGATACACACAATACATTATAATGGAATTGTACAATGTTAATTTTTTTTAAATGTGATCGAGTATTAAAATTAAAAGCAGTTACAAAAAGGCCATATTTCCAATAACTGCAATTTACCATCAGACAGACAGACAGTGTTTACATTTCCATGCAAAATAGATTATTAATACATCAAACTATTATTTTAAAAAATGTTAATATATTATAATAAAAAAAATCAATTCACTGTCATTCAAATCGATTCTTCATTTGTTATATTAGCATTTGTTTTATTTCAGTTGAATAATCATTAGAATAAAAATATTGTATTCTTCCAAAACGCAAAGCGATTTATTGAGTAATCCAAAAGTCGTGTATTATTGGTATATCTGATACTGAATTTATTTCATAACAAAATCTAATAATGCAATAATCGTAAAAATATGTTCATTTCTACTCTTTTGCAAAATTTAAATTAATAAACTTGAATTACCATATAATCTTCCAAATTGCTATTTAATATTCTTTCATAACATGATGCTGCTCATTGAATAAACTTAAATATTAATTTATATATTAATAAATCTCTTATTCAGTATTCATTCGCGCCATTTTGTAAATTTCTTTATCAAAAAATATGAAACATTTGAGTTAAAATTGTTCAAAAAAAAATTAATCTAAAAAACTAATTCAAAAGCAGAACTTCAAGATATTGCATTTGTTGTTCTGGAGGCATATGGGTTGCTGCCTTTCATTGACATACACAATACAAAGTAATGCAATTATTTTTTTTTAATATTATCGAGTATTGAAAATAAAAACTGAAGAAATTACAAAGAATAGATCCATATACAAATATATGCAATTTGCCTGCAGACACAGTATTTTATATCAATTATATTATATTCATATTGAAAAAAGATTCTCATAAATTTTTAAAATATTTTTACAACATTCCAACTTCATCAAAATTCAAATGGATTCTTCATTTTTAATATCCATGATATAGCAATCAGTAGAATAAAATGATAAAGATCGCATTCAATAATCTAAAAGTGTTATGTTATTGATATAAATTTCATTTCATAACAATCGTAAAAATATTCATTCCGAACCCTTTTGTGTACAACATTTAAATGAATAAATATGAATTAACGGATAAAATATAAGCCACATTTTTTCTACAAACTGCAGGTGTCGTATTCTCTATTAAAAATTAAGGAAAAATTGTGATCCAATTATTCAAAAAAAAAAAAATAATTTGAAAATCTGTATTTGAGACATATGATAGTTATCTCCATATTTAAATTAAAACCGAAAAGACTGCACAATAAAAACTATCTGCCATTTGCCAGAAGGCACAGTATTTTATATCCGAGCAAAAATATTAAGATTCATCTAAAAATTTTAAATTACATTTCTTCAAAAAAATTGATATTGAAGAAGTGACATTCAAATTAAGAAAAATTTGAATTGCTAATTTGATATAAAATAGAATTAGAACTAGAAGCAAGGTTAGAACAAAAAGAAGAATAAACATGTCAGTAGTAAACAAAAATTTGATAGGTATAGGTTATATAATAATAGTATTTGATGATATAATAAAAATAGTACATTAGTATCCCCAAAATTGGATAGCATCTAATCTAATCTAATACCTATTTTTAAGCGTGAAAAGTGAAAGGCATAACGACAACTTATGAGGGTGTTAATGAGACAGGTTCATCTAATATCAGTTGTAACAAGGATTTTCGTATATGAAGTAGCATTTAAACAAATATTTAAAACATATTTTGAAGTTAAAATTTTAAGTTTATTAATAGTAATGTTGTATATTTGTTTGTGCAATATGGAACAAAGTCGAAAAGTATGTGGATAAAAATCACGCGGAAAAGGATATATTAGAATTGTTTGACGAAACATGTCTAACTTGTTTTGGCAATACTATAATAGGTTGAGAAAAAAAAAATAATGGTCATTGGATAGTTTTTTAAACGCAAAAACTGGTATAATGATAATAACTGGTATAATGATAACATATTTTAAAGTTAAAATTTTAACTTTATTAATAGTAATGTTATATATATATATTTGTGCAATATGGAACAAAGTCGAAAAATATGTGGATAAAAATCACGCCGAAAAGGATATATTAGAATTGTTTGACGAAACATGCCTAACTTGTTTTGGCAATACTATAATAGATTAAGAAAAAAAAATAATGGCCATTGAATAGTTTTTTTAAACGCAAAAACTGGTATAATGATAATTTAGTCATTTTTAATTCAGCAATTTGCTATGTTTAGGCAGAATATGTATTTGGTTTTAGCAATCAAGTCTCTAGTTTTGTTGTCAGCAAACACTGTGTTGGATTTTATTGAGCATCAATTTGATCTTAGCAATAAAGTTGCATTTATTCTTATTATCAAAAAACACTGTGCTGGATAGAATTGATTGCATTTCAATGTATTCACATAGAAAAAAATGCTTCGAGATATGAAAATTTCGACATACGAGCGTGGTTACGGAACGAATTAAGCTCTAAACGAGTGTATATAGCATAATGAAGATAGTACAAGATATAGTAAGAGCTAGTAAAAAATATAAGAAAAATTGTTGGAGGTAGCTAAATGCCCTAAGTAAACGAGGCCAATAAAAATCATTTAAAAAAAACTTACGTAGTGTGCAATGACGTCCATTCCATCCTTGAGAGCAAACGCAGGTTCCATTCTTACATTGACCATGCTCCGAGCATCGGTCATCGCAAGGTAGGAGGTCACATAAAGGACCTGCCCAACCTTGAACGCAGTTGCAACGACCTTGCTCACATGTACCATGAGGACCACAGTCAAGACTGCATATGGCTAAAAACAACACACGATTTATTAAAATTTAGTTGAAAGTTCATATCATATTATATATAGCATCTAATGCACTTATTTTTAGGTACGGAAATCAGCATGACGACGCTTTAAAAAGACTCATTCTATTTTTATCTATTAAAAACGCCATTTGTTAAAAACGCCAAAGCTTACAATGCGACAAAAAAAAAGAAAATTTTTACAATTATGTGCATTATAAATAAATATAATTTGTTTTTATTCGTTAGTCGAAAATAATAGACAAATAGACAGATTGTAAAAGTCTCTAATAACAGCATGTTACTTAAAATCATGAAAAAAAACTTCATTCAAAAAAAACGAAATAAATAAATTAAAAAAATCAAATTATACAAAATTAAATTAAACAAAAAAACCTAAAATACATATAAAAGATTAAAATGCATCAAGAGCAAGGCATTTTACAAAAAAATATTAACATTATATCTTTTATGAAATTAGTCTAATATGCACATTTTTTAACTTCCCGTAGGGTAAGTTATTGTAATGAGCCGAAAATCGGAATTGAAAATTTTTACATTTTTCGACGTTTTGAAGGTTTCTGAACGTTTTGGCATACCTCAGAAAAAATGGATGTGTGTGTGTGTGTATGTATGTATGGATACAAATTTCCAGTCAAGTTTTAGGGCGCACGGATCAACCGATTTGAATGGTTCAAAAAACATTCGATTCCTATTGATAGGGATTTGAATGATCTAAAAAACATTCAATTAGTGATGATTGGGAGAAGTGTTTATTAGTTTTTGGCAAAGGCAGGCCCAGCCATTTTGAAGATACGGAGCTAAATATGTAAAAAATTGCAGTTTTTGAGAGAACTAAGCGTCCGATTTAAATGATTCAAAGAACTTTCTGCTTGTCTTAACAAAATAATTGATTTTTGAAAAAAAAAATTGTTCATTTTTTTAGTTTTTTGTATATCGAAAATATTTCAGATTCTATTTTTAATTCTGACTATAGTTCTAATTCTACCTCTGCAATTCAGTTTATATAATTCTTATAAATATTAGACAATGTTACAATATTTATAATAATCTATTTGAAAACATTCAGTATTCCTCGAACATTTCGTTACGGTACGGGAAGTTCCAGCAATTTGCCTTAAGGCACAATGCCATAATTGCCTCAAGACAGAATTCCACTTACAGCTAGTTTAAGATATGATTGACACTTTTTGTTTTAGTGACAAATATATTTTTCCTTTTAGTAAAGAAGCCTCCTTCGAATAAACAGTTTTAATAATTACCGACGTGTGGTAAATTTACTGTGCATTTATGATAAGGTTTGAATAAAAATTACATAAGTAGCTAAAAACAACACACGATTTATTAAAATTTAGTTGAAAGTTCATATCATATTATATATAGCAACTAATGCACCTATTTTTAGGCACGGAAATCAGTATGACAACGCTTCAAAAAGACATTCCATTTTTTTTATTAAAAACGCCATTTGATTACAATCAAATGTGAAAATGATATGTTGTATTGCACCTTTAAAAAGTTTTTTGTAACCACAAATGTTCCCATTAACGTTAACAACAAAGCTGCTGAACGGTTTATGACACTAAAAATTGGATTTAATCACAAAACGTACAATAATATGATCTTAATTGCCTTTCAAATCACTGTAAAATTATTCTACTCAACAAACAATTCAAAGACTTTATATTGCAAAATCGTGAAATTGTTTAAAGAGCTTGTTTTTAATTAAGAAAAAAACTTCTGACACTAAAACTCACTCATTTATTCTACTATCTTTTCTTATTATACATTATTACCAAAATATAATATTTTTAAAATATTGTTATTTAATGCAATTAAAATAAACGCGGTTCTAGTAAATGTAATATAGTGTTTTATTAATTGGAAAGAATCTTTAGCAATAAATAATAATGCTAATGTAAGCCTGAAATACTTGGAAGAGATTAAAAAATATTTATTCAATTACAAATATACTTTAAAAAATAATTTTACCATTATTCACTGACGCTAGAAAACATAGGAAATACAACAGTAATTTATTGTTGTCTAATACGACAAAATAAAATATGCAACAGTAATTTATTGTTGACAAAATGGTTTTTGTTTGCATAAATTGAAAATATGGAAATGAAATGAATGAAAATGACAAAATAGAAAAAAAGTTCTAAAATAGCTTCATTATATAGCCAAAATATTGCATAAATTTTAAAATTATATTTAAAATCAAATAAATCATTACGAAGACATCTCAAATTTATATCGAAAACTAGCTGTAAGTGGAATTCTGTCTTAAGGCAATTAGGGCATCGTGCCTTAAGGCAAATTGCGGGAACTTCCCGTACCAAAAATTATTATTTTTTTAAAAACGATTAACATTTTTGAAAAAAAATTACTTCGAAATAATTATTGAGAAACTAGGAATATGACAAAAAATTACTTTTTTTTGAAAAAAAAATTTTTATTTGAAAAAAAAAATTTTTTTTTGAAAGAAATTTTTTTTTTTTGAAAACAAACTATTTTTTTGAAAAGAAAAATGTTTTCTTCATTTTGACATATTTGGAAATTCTGAACTTTTTTTCAAAGCAATCGTAGTGCTTGAACTGCATAGAGACGAATTGTCACAGCGCAAGTGCCGCGCCGCCGTCTAACGCATAAACATTGGTACGGAACCCATAGAAATGTAAAAAAAAATTATACTTATTGTTAAAATTTCTATACAATATCTGATAATTTGATGTGCATATGTCTAATCATCATTTTTAACCGCCAAATGGCATTTTTTTTTTTACTTTTTTCATTAGATCTCCGAAACCGCTAGACCTGCCTTCATGAAAATTTTATCAACTCTTCATCTTGCCAATACAAGTAAAATGTTTTCACTGAATTATTCAAATCGGACGCTCCGTTCTCTTAAAAACTGACTTACCGTTTTCGGCACTTTTTGCCCCGTATCTTCGGAACGGCTAGACCTAACTTCGCCAAAAACTAATCAGCACGTCTCCTTATCAGTACGAATCGAATGTTTTTTGAATTATTCAAATCGGTTGATCCGTGTTCCCGAAATCGTCGACGAAAATTTGTATCCGCACATACATACACACACATACATACACACACACACACACACACACACACACACATACATCCATTTTTTTCTAAGGTATGCCAAAATATACAAAAACCTCTAAAACGTAAAGATATATAAAAATTTTCATTTTCGATTTTTTTGCGATTACTATAACTTACCCTACGGGAAGTTAATTACAACTAAATAAGATGTCTGATTTGAGGTTTCAAAATTTTCCTAATCAATAGTAAATAAATGATAGCTATCTTTTTCCTCAAATAGTAAGATTTTTTTACTTTCATGATACCAGAACGTAAACTTAGTGCTCGAAAAAAAAATAGTAAAAATTATACGTATTCCTTGCAGTCTAAATAAAAGAGATCTAAAGAAAAGAGAATACAAACAAATATTTTAAAAAGTATGTTATTAAAAAAATACTTGTGACAATAAAGTAATATGAATTATTAGAAGATGAACATGATGAACGTATTTCAGATCCGCATAAAATAAATAATTTTCGCAAATGAGGATAACACAAGTCATTGGATAAATAATTTAAAATTGCTGAATTGTTATACAAATATCGATACATACAGAATAATAACCATTTAATATTAATTTTCACAAACGTTTCAAATTGTTATAACAAAAATCTTACTTGTCAATATTAAGGAAAATGGTGAACATCAATATATATGTATAATAAAAACCACAAATGCTAAGTAAAATATTGATTAAAATTTTCGGGTGCTATGATGAAAAAGGTGATAATTGTAGAAACATATTTAAAAAAAAAAAAAATTTTTTACACACAAAATTTCATTAGCACAAAAATTTCATTAGCAATTTTACAAAATTTGATACATTTTCATAATTACTATTGTATGTATTATTTAAAATATTATTATTAAAAGAATTGGAAAAACAAATTAAAATTTTCCCTTCCTCTGATAAAAAAATCAATATATATGTAATAATGTTACTTATATATAAATTTTAATTATTTATATTTAGTCATCGAAAAGAAGACATTGACATCTAGATTTTTATAACTCATCATATTTTAAATAAATTTTAAATACAATTATTTTTATTTTATTACAATTTATTTTTACGATCGCGACGGGAGTGGAAAATGGAAAACTATGTCAGTAAATTTATCAATGTGTTTATTGAACAAATTTAAGTATAGGATATATAAGTATTTATCAAATCATTCAGAAATATTTTGCTCATTTTAGAAAATTCAGGAAAAAATAAAATTTCTAAATAACTTTAACAACTATAATTATTAAACTAAAACAATATGTTTTAAAAAATTTTTAGTTATAATCCACTAAAGCCAAAATTAAATTTTATTTTGATTGATTGGAGACGTAATTAAAAAAAGCATTATAAAATACGGTTCTTAATATGCATATTCTTTTTATTTTATTTTTTTTTTAATAATTTTTATAGTTAAAATAAGTTAATAGGGATAATATGAGCAATTTTTTAAGTAACTGTATATGATAAATTATATATTGAAATTATGCAAAACAACAGAGCTTTATATTTAAAAAACTGATATGAAAAATTGGTCTAAAGGAATTGAAGTAAAATAAATAGACCATAAAAATACGGTCAAATGAACTAAATGATATTAAATAGCCAGTAAGTAAGTTAATAAATCAAGTAAAAATTATCAATTTCTTTATTAAACTAAAACAACTGTTAACTATTAATTTTGATCATAATCCATCAAAGTACAAAAATTTATTTTGATTGATTGGAGATCAACAAAGCATTATACAATATGACCAAGGACTAAGAGAATTGGAGTAAAATAAATATACTATACATTTTAACCATCGGTAAAATTTCTAAAAACATACAAAAATTTAATTGTGTTGCTGAATGAAAAACTTGTAGCTTTT